CAGACCAAGGACACCCGACCAAAGCCGCTGCCTGGGCGGCTTTACTCGTTTCCCGGGAGCAAAGCCGCCCAGGCGGCGGCTTTGCTCGGGTGTCCCTGGTCTGCTGGGGGGGGGGTCCAGCGGCTTTGCTTGACCCCCCCCAGCAGACCAGGGAGACCAGGAGAAGCTTTTCTCGCCCCGGAAGTCACGGGTGGCGACCCGCCGCCCGTGAGCTCTGGGGCGAGAAAAGCCCCGTTCGTAAGTGTGGATCCGCCGTAAGTCAGGGACTGCCTGTAGATCGAATTAAGTGGCTACACAGCCCTTAATTCGAACTACTTAATTCGAACTAGGCGTTAGTCCTCGTAGAATGAGGTTTACCTAGTTCGAATTAAGCGCTCCGCTAGTTCGAATTAAGTTCGAACTAGCGATTTGCCTGTGTAGCGCCTATGAAAGTTAATTCGAACTAACGGCTGTTAGTTCGATTTAACTTTGTAGTGTAGACATACCCCAAGAGACTTGGGTTTTGTTCTTTGTTCTCCTACAGACCTTCTATGTGACCTTTGGCAAATCACTTCAAAGTTTGGCTGCCTCATCTAAAATAGGCTGTAGATGCATTGGGACAAGAACTCTCTCTTACAGCACCTAGCACAATAGGGGCCTGAACTTACATGTACACTCTATGACTGATGCCACCATGTACAAAAAATATAATTAGAACATTTAAAGTTACTTATTTAAAAAAAATAGAAATCTACATACTATACAGGCAATTTGAAGAATAGTTTGCTAAGCTGATTTACCTCTCTTGGAAAAAAGGGTCCCAAGATTGAATAGCAACTCATTGAACTGAAGTTCAAACAAGCTGTTGCTGCCATTGTGAAGAGCTGATCTCTGGTAAGCCTTCTCGACTCTTCAGCGGGAACTTCTGGTCTGCCATTTTCTTGAATTAAAAATATTTGTATTAGGTTCTGATAAACTGGGACACAAATTGCAAGCTGTCTATTTACAAGAGATGAGCCCTCTAGGAATTTGGAATTAGTGACCTAAGCTTATGGTTCAGGAAAAGGTTACTTAAACCTATCATTTTCTTCTGCATGTATTCCTGTATCATTTTACAAGTGAAGCTTCCTCCTCGATCCTGCAAGCTGAGGATACAAATAGAAGCTAAAGGGACTCTGGGTGCAAGAGGCTGAGAGTCCCAATGTCTTTCCAGACCAGCTGAAGTTTGCAACTTCAAGAACAAAAGGATTGGACACTGTCACCTTTACTCACTCAGCTATTGGACTACTTGTAGGAGTGAGAACTGCCCACAATCTGCCTAATTAGGGCCCAGGGTATCTTTAAGTAAACTGACAACTTCTAGTATATAACGTTGTAGTCTTTTGTCTACACGGTATTATGATAATTAAGTGTGGTTTTAAAAAAGCTGTACTTATTCTGTCCCATACCTTTTGTTTTACAGCCCAGAGATGGAGAAACAACCAGCTTACTAATAAAGAAAGACACCTGCAGGTCATCTGCCAGCTCTTGGCAACCTTCAAAAGAAGCTTTGCAAAATATAGTATTTAAAACATTTACTGTTTTTTTTCCTCCACTCCTCCATGTGAATGTCTTAAGTATTCCTATCATTCTGCATTCTAGAGTAAGTTTGAGGCCAGAAGACAGTTCCCAGAAAATATTTTTCCAAGGTGCATTAGGTTAGTTATTTAACAAGACTGTCTTTAGGCCCCACTAGTAAGGTTTTCCATTATTTGACTAAGGATGCTATTAGCTTAAGAATAAGGCCAGCAAGATCCTTTCGAGTTCATCTCTTCATAGCCTTTACTAAATAGACAAAAAGCTCCTGGTCCCTTCAGCTCGCCTTCCCAAAGAAACAAAAAGCCACTTACCCCAGAATGGAACGATACGAGTCAATTTCAAAAGTGAGAGAGATATGAACATGAATGGCAAAAAAAAGCCAGAAAGTGATCTTAGCAGTGCTGAGTCTTTCTGATGTGCAAAATTTAGTTACAAAAACAACAAAGGTAGGGGAGGGAGAAGTGCAGACAAAATGTGTCCTCTTCCACCAAAGTTGCAGTTACTCCAAAAAAATCAGATTCCACCATAAGCAAATGTAAACCACTAACCAAAACCAAAGAAGTCAACTGGGAATCTAAGAAGCATCCAGTGCTTGGGTGAAGTAGTCACCCAATTACCTGGCAGATCTGGGGAGACCCGCAACACAAAAGACTAAGAAGAGCAGGATCTGAAAGAAAAACTCTCTTACCCCCTCCATGGACCTGCAAAGTGTCCTGGGTCTTTGCTTCCCGGCTGCCCATAGCAGGGAATCCTGGACACTGAAGCCCAAGGTAACTTCTCCAGATGCTGATGTCCCTCTGTCAATGCTGGTTTTGCACAGGGAAGAGATCACGTCCTCATTCCACGACAAAGACTAGATTTAGAACAGGAGCTTCAGATGTTGTTAGCAAGTATTCTCAGCCCACTCTACACCTGATCATTAGCCGCATAGAGAGCGGCTGCCTGACACCACCACCATTGATTCCCTCCCAGTTTGTCACTGACAGGCACGTGCTGCTTCACCATATTTGCTTAATCTGCCTATCAGCATTTGTCCTTTTTCTACCCTGAGAATTTGTGACGGGTTACAAGGAACATCTGAGAAGTGAGCATCACAGCAACAGGCACAATATTACACATGATCACTGTGTAAGCAGGATCTGAACGACTGCTTGTAATACAGCCAGCTGGAAGGGAAAAGCAGCCCTGGGTGTGGTATGCTCACTCAAATTGTTAAGCCCTGCAAGATAATCAACTGTTGACATGTAAGTACAGCTCATGCTGGAGTGGGGAAGGAATCCAGAGTGTGGTTAAGTAAATCCAAGGGGGAGGCTTGTTCATCTGAGACCCTTTACAATGATGGTGTCTCTCCTGCAAGCACTGGTGTCATATTTTACAATTCCTACATTTAGGGGTAGCTTGATTTGTGACCCCACAACAGCCAAATTAGTTACAATACTTCACATTCCATTCTATCAATTGATCCTCCATCAGGCCAGATTTAAGTGGAAGAGATGGGGGAGGGGAGACTTCAGCCAGCAAGAACCGTAATACTGGTTCAACCTGTCTTCTTTCCCCCCTGTTCTAAGGATAGACCTAAAGCAGATTTCATAAGGAATCTCTTCGTTATTCCAGTAGAAGCTGGAATCTTTTGGCTAGCCTAGATGGTGGCTAAGAGCTGAAATCACTAATCTGCCCTGGAGCCAGACCCAGCAGCCAGCAGGGAAGCTAGCAGAAGTAGGCGGCCAGCAGGACAGCTGGTGGGAGCGACCAGCGGGCAGCTGGTAGCAGCAGCAGCAGGCGGCCAGCGGGGCAGCTGGCAGGAGCAAATGGACCACAGGAGCAGCACAAAGGTGGCATTGCCTCAGGCCCAATGAGTGGGTCCGCACTGACTGGACAGAGCTGTAAGTGGGGCATTTGAAGCGGGATACGGAGAAAGTCTGTGTGTGTGAATGGGATCCTTACATTGTTGGACTAGTGAGACTGAGAGGCAAAGGACATTGCTCAATCCATTTGAGCTGGGATGGTTACTTGTGGGGGGTATGAACTCTGGTTGTGGTATTTTCCCAAGCTAATGCCATGTGACTTCTCTCCCTCTTTCATTAAAAGTTTCTTTTCTACGCTCAGACTCTGTGTTTGCGAGTGGGGAAGCATTACCTCTCAGAGGCACCCCAGGGTATGTGAAATTCCCAGGCTACTGGGTGGGAGCTCGAGCTGGTTCTGTGTAATATGGATGAAAAGGAACCCTTAGATATTGAACCCGGCCCCTTGGCTGCTGCCAGATGACTGTTTTGCGGGGCCCCGGGCAGCATAATTCTGCAGGGCCTCCCCTTTGCCACTGCGCATGCGCAGCGGCGCCACGGTGCATGCGCGGGGCTTTCTGAAGCGCGGGGCCCAGGGCAGCAGTCCCGTTCGCCCTGCCCTATATCCGCCCCTGGTTACAACTGGAATAAAATCCAAGAAAAATGTTCTTTATTTCTTCTGTCATTCAGTCTTCCAAACCTGAGACAAGCCAGCATGGAGCAAAGTAGGAGTGACCGTCACACAAAATTCATAGAATTAGGACAAAGTCTATGATGATCATCTAGTCTTACTTCCTGCATAATATGGGCCACGGAACCTTAATCAATAATTTCTATATCAAGAACACAACTTCTGTTTGAGCTATGTTTGACAAAGAGAGCTAGTTTTCAATTTAAAGATTTGGAGGAATGGAGAACTCACTGCATCGCCATGTAAATTGTCCAATAATTAACTACCCTCCTTGTAAAGACAGGATGCAACTGTTTGCTTGGGCTGCCAGTCACTGGATCTCATTATGGTGGTACTATGGTGGTACAATATGGTACTGTCTATAACTCATGCTTCAACCATTCATGATGCCAACTTATTTCTAGTAGAATTTGTAAATTTGTTTTCTGTATGTTTTGATCAGCATTGAAACAGTTAACATTGAGATTTACATTGTCATCATTAGGCTCAGCATGCCTTGGAGATGAAAAAAAGCAATTCAGACTTTTCTTGGTTAAGGTTCAGGCAGAAGCTTTGGATTTTTCTTCCTGAGGTGTTGCCAAATAGAGTCTACACACAGGGGCGGATGAGAGTGCTGCGGGACCCAGGGCAGTGCCGCGGAGCCCTGGGCAGCGAAATTTCGCAGGGCCCTGCTCACCCTGCCCTAAATCTGCCGCTATCTACACATGCTGCCCATTCTCCCAAATGTTTCCAGGTGTATATTGAGAAGCATTCCTAACTTATTCTGATCAGGTGAAGACACAATTAGGGTACCAGCTGTCCTCTTGTTGAGGAGCAAGGGAGTTAGGAATAATTTTGGAAGACATCCAAAGAAAACAGAAATCTGGGCATAGAGGATGGGTAGTTAGGGATGCATGTTGGATGTTATTACGTTTTCTGTGTATGGTTAGTTCTCTCAACTTAAAAGGAAACTCTAACCTATAGAAAGTGAAAGCTTTAAATTTTACAAAGTTCCAAGAAAGTCTTATTTTTTCCCTCTTGTTCATTTGTGTACTTTTTTCTGTTATTGTCATTCACTGCACATTGAGATGGAAACTTTTCATGCTCTCCCTCTTGGCCAGATATGCTACTGCAGATATACCTCACCCTATACTATTCTATCTGTGTGTCAACAAGTGTGCTTGCTCAGATCAGTGTAATGAGAAACCAAGCACACTAATTAACAGAACTAGGTCCCCCTTTTAATTAAGCCCTATGGATGGAGAGATTGGAAACCTCTTTAAAGGCCCTTATGTCAGAAATAAGGTTCAGAATGCCAAAATCTTAAAAGTCCAGAACAAAAGTCTCTGTTCTCAGTCTCTCTGGGCTAAAGAAAGAAAGAGAGTGAGAGTTCTTCCCCCCTCCTCCTGCCAATATGGCTGCACTCTAAGGTGATTTCTACACTGGTGCAATCTTGTGCCAGAGCTATGCAAATGAGGCTAAGTGTGGAATAGGGGGGAGCCACATTTGCATATCTAATGAGCCGCCATTTTTGCGGAAGGGGGTTTTGCGCAAGAAGGAGCTGTCTCCACTGCCCTTTCTTGCGCAAGAAAAACCCTCTTGTGCAATGCTGTTATTCCTGAAAATAATCAGTGTAACAGCATTGCACAAGAGGGTTTTTCTTGCGCAAGAAGGGGCAGTGGAGACAGCTCCGGGGGGAGCCACATTTGCATATCTAATGAGCCGCCATTTTTGCGGAAGGGGGTTTTGCGCAAGAAGGAGCTGTCTCCACTGCCCTTTCTTGCGCAAGAAAAACCCTCTTGTGCAATGCTGTTATTCCTGAAAATAATCAGTGTAACAGCATTGCACAAGAGGGTTTTTCTTGCGCAAGAAGGGGCAGTGGAGACAGCTCCTTCTTGCGCAAAAGCCCCTTCCGCAAAATGGCAGCTCATTGGATATGCAAATGAGGCTCGGCGATATTCCACGCTTAGTCTCATTTGCATAGCTCTGGTGCAAGATTGCGCCAGTGTAGACATAGCCTAAGATAATGGGGATAAAGGAGGCTTTGCTATACCCATAAGTCCTCTGGATGGGATGGGATTTGAGTTTGTGTGTAGAGACTGATGCAGAAGTCACTATGCACAGATCAGTAGATCCATGTGGTACTATCAGCTGATGCGATAAACCTTATTTCTGTGGTGCTAGGGGGTTGTGTCCCAGGTCAAAGGGACATGTAGCTGGGGAACTTGACATGGGATCAGCATAGAGGGAGAGGATCAAGAGACTGGCAATAGGAGTATGTGCTCAAATGAAAAGCAAGCATGCTTTGAAGCTCCCTGCTTCCGGGGAATAGCTTTGGCTGCCAGAGGGAGTTTTGGCCATTTGGGAAAGGAAAGGTGGATTGGGTCCCCTTACTCTTGTTTTCAAGGCATGCCCTCCATTTTAAATTCTGCATAGGACCTAGAGGAGGCTAAAGCCTTAAAGGTCAGTTTAACAGCCACAACTGAGGCTTCTTTGTGCCCTGTGAGTGTAGACAGGAGTAGTATGAGGTTCATTTGCTTTACTCCACTGGGAGGGGGTGGGGAGATTATTATGGGTATGAGTGGACCAGAGGGAAAAGTGGTTCAAAAGAAGCATTAATTTAGAGTGTGAAATGTTGGAGCTTGACCACGAGGAGCCCAGCAACACAAAGGGGGAAACCCCACAGTTGACTGAGAGAACACAAAAGCCTGTTGGCAGTTAGCAACTGAAGAACAGTACAATAAGAAAGGATCTATAGTGAAGCGTGTACTGTTATAGAAAAATTGGATTCACAGAACCATTGAATGGACTCTTTGTTATGTTTAACAATAGACATGATCAAAATAGTTACAATACAAATATTAAAAAATTGTCATTTTGAAATTGGCACTTGACACTAACATGTGACATGATTAATAACCACAAACATGGTTTGTTTTTATGCCTAACAGGATGAAAAACAAACCATAAAAGTGCTTTCCTGCTAATATCAAGCCCTCAGTTATTTTTCAAGTCACCCTCTGTTCAGGATCCAAATCACATGGTATGTCAAACTCATGCCCTGGTGCCCCAGGCTCTTTATAAATTTGGTCATTCCTTTTTACCTTGGTGACTACCCCAAATTAGTAGGTTTTTTTTCAAATTAGGAGAATAAATTTGTGATTGGAGAAATCTGAAGTATCTAAAAGGATGTTACAAGGACGAAAGAGAAAAAATGTTCTCCTTGGCCTTTCATGATAGGACAAGAAGCAATGGGCTTAAATTGCAGCAAAACTTAGGAAAAACTTCCTGCCTGTCAGGGTGGTTAAACACTGGAATAAATTGCCTAGGGAGGTTGTAGAAACTCCATCACTGGACATATTTAAAAGCAGGTTGGATAGACATCTTTCAGGGATGATCTAGACAGTGCTTGGTCCTGCTGTGGGGGAAGGGGACTGGACTTGATGATCTCTCGAGGTCCCTTCCAGTTCTAATATTTTATGATTCTATAGTCAAGTAGTTCCTTGATGGGGTTTTGTTTGTTTTCAAAGAATGTACAAAGTCCCGTGTCTCTGAACACAGAAGGAAGCAAACAGCAGGAAACAGCTTCATTGCTCATGGTACCAAGAGAACTTTTTTCAGCCTTCACCCTGACCACAAAATGTCTCCCCAGGTTTCTTCACAGGTCAGACACCACACTTTCAGCAGCTCCCTCTCTCTGGCTGGTCATTTGGCTTTCTTAGGTCCTATGCATTGTGACAATTTCTCTCTTTTTTACCCCAAACAATACTCAGTAAAAGCTCTTGGACAGGATAACATACTCCTTCTATCTTAGGTGAGGGATAGTCTTTATTGTTGTGTTAACTGAAAGGAGTATTCACATCAATTAATGAGG